AACTGACTTGTCTTTCTTTGGAACAACCACAATGGGTGCTGCCCAATCGCTCCTTCCAACCCGAGAGATAATTCCGTTCCTCTCCAGGCGATCAAGTTCCCTCTCTACTGCTTCCTTCAGAGCATACGGAACAGGTCTTGGCTTATGAAATATAGGCTGAGATCCTTCTTGCACTCTCACTTTTGCTTTAAAAGCACTAATTTTGCCATAGCCATCTTGAAAAAGCTGTTTGTGTTTTTCATGTACATCAGAGAGGGAAGAAACACTCACTGGTGTGACATGTCTCACACTGAAGATCTTACTCCAGTTTAAGGAAATTTTCTGGAGCCAGTTTGCGTCCCAGCAATGGGGGTTTGTCTCCTTTGACCACAATCAATGGAAGTGAACACTGTTGTCCCTCATATGTGACTGGAACCTTGATCTCACCCAACACAGGGATTTTGTCTCCAGTATACGAGGCCAGATGAATGGCGGTTGGGCTCAATGAACAGTCTTTCAATTTTTCAGTATAGATATGTTCCGGAATCAAAGACAAAGAGGCTCCTGTGTCTAGTTGCATGCTAACTGTTATGCCATTAAGCTGAAGATCAATGTAAATGCCATCTGCCTTGTCTTGTGCAGAGTAGACAGTGAAGAGCTCAAACAGGTCATCTTCCACTGCACACTGATTGTCGGATATGTCCGCGGATATGTCCACATATTGACCATTGTCTAGCCGCTGTGTTTTGTGATTCTTACATACACGCTGTAAGTGTCCAACTTTTCCACAGTTGTGGCATTTCTCATTTCGATGGTGACATTCTGTGGGATGGTGGTTGCCTCTCCCACAGCGGTAACAGTTGCCTCTATGCTTGGGTAAAGGTTTCTGCTGGGCCCCTTTTTTTAGAACTGTACTGAGAATTTCCCCATCCTCTGTATTTCTCTCTGCCCCCACCAACATTTTGCACCTTATGCACACTTCTGTCCTTTAAGGCCGCCTGGGCACTCAGCTGTTTTGTGTCCTTTTGCGCTAGTTCCAATGCAAGAGCAACATCACAGGCTTTCTTGAAAGTCAAGTCCTTTTCTGACAAGTCCTTTTCTCCTGTGATAAACTTCTCCCGAAAGTCCACAGACAAATTTGTCTCTGAGAGCATCATCCAGAAATGTTCCAAACTTACAAGAACTTGCCAGACGTTTTAATGCCAGAATGTAATCAGATTTTTTTTCCCCAGGACTTTGGTTGCGTTGGTAAAATCTGAAACGTTCTGCAATCAGAATTGGCTTGGGCTTGAAGTGGTCCGAAAGGGTCTGAGAAATTTCCTGGTATGATAAATCAATCACTTTTCCTGGCTCAACTAAACTTTTCAAAAGGCCATATTCGAGGAAAACATTTGCTTTTTTTCACTGTCAATTTCATTTGCTGCCAGCCATCGCTCAAATCTCTCCAAATAGGTATCAAAATCCTCTTTGGTGCTGTCAAACTCAGGCACTCGTCCTATTGTGGCCATTTTCTTTTCCTTTATTATTATGGTGTTCCTTTTCCACTTTTTTTTCTTTCTCTTTTTATATATATGTCTGCAATTTCGAGCAGTGAATGTGAACTGTTACCTTCGTGGCTGTTGTAATCATTTCGTCCTCTAGATGTCGCTCTACTCCCACGAGCTCAGCATGTGACTGTCACTGCCTTCATACGCTATTGCTTGACTCGCACCAGTTCAATTACCTCTTCTATACCGTTGTTTTTGTTGAGTCTTTCTTGTTCACTCTATGCACTGAGGTTTCCAAAACCACCTCGTCGCCACTGTTATGTTTTACTATAAAGAGGAACGACACGGACAACCATTTCACTGCAGATAAGCTTTACTGCTCCGTGCTTACACTTCCGCTCTCACATTACACACACGCTGCTCCCATCAGCGTTCACCACAGCCACGGAGAAACTACCATAATGCATGAAATAGATTCGCATGCACAATACATTACAGATACGAGACCGGTAACTTGCGTCTCACAGGTGTCGCTCATCGGTAATCACGTCACCGGCCTCGCGCCGTTCTCCCGCAGGCCCTCACTCATCCCGCTCGCCACAGTAAACATGACTCGCGCCGTTCTCCCGCAGGCCCTCACTCATCCCGCTCGCCACAGTAAACATGACTCGCGCCGTTCTCCCGCGGCCCTCACTCGTCCTGTTCGCCACAGTAAACATGACTCACATTGTTCTCCCCCGGCCCTCATTCGTCCTGCTCGCCACAGTAAACATGATGAATGGTGAGTGTAGAAAGCAAAAGCCGAATCCCGAACATTTTGGGAGATTTCAAAATCCTGGGCAGACTCATCACGGAGACTCACTAGGAGCCTAGACTTGTTGTTTAATGACTGCGCTCTGTTACCGATAGGCATGGCCTCCTAGGGCAGTGAAGCAAGTGCATTCTGGGAGTTGTTGTCTTTCATCCTCATAAGCCAAAAATACATTTTCTGCCTTTTCTCAGTCTAGAAAGCTTCAAATTAAAAAATAATTTCACATTTCTTCTACATAAATTGCCCATTTTAAATACACATTCATCTTTCCAGAGCTGGAATGATCCTTTAAATCTCTTGGCAAACTCATGCAGAAAGACGTAAATGACATTTGTATGTATTCTAAATTGAAGACACAGTTAAATGTCAGCTTGCTTATTTTGCTCAAGATAAGGATTTATGAAGTCCCATATGTCATGCAATCTAGAAACTATGCTTTTAACGCAGGTCGAGATCTATCGTTCAAACCACACAGCTTTGCGATGCTGTTTGCGAATGTTCGCTGGTACGCTGGTTTCAGAAACACCGAATCGTTGAACTGCTGATAACGATGGAACTTGCGACCATATTTGGGCAACGATGCTTTCGGGAAACGCACCCCTGTTTTCTCTTCCATGCAGTTAAAGGGACCCAAAAAAGGAGCATGAAACATAAATTGAGTTCGTAACACAATTCGTTAGCAAGAACTACATATGATAGTCATTTCAAGGAAGTAACTTTGAGGTTTCTTTTGACTTCCTGATCATCTTTGACTTCCTGATTATCTTTGACTTCCTGATCATCAACAATTGTGTGAATATATGTGTATATTCACACAATTAATATATATTCATACAATTGTTCTTGAACCTTCAGTTTTAGAATCTGTGTAGTAAAACTTTCTCCAGACTGGAAGCCTCATGATTAAATATAATGAACTAATTTATCTTCTTGAGCTTCATGTATTGAAGGAGAATTTCTGTCTTTCCTCCAGTGCCATTAAGCTGTTTTATTAAGGGCAAGTGAAGTTGAGGAGGTGTTCATGATTTGATTTTAACCTGATTTCACTGAAATGTTTCAGTGTTACATGTGAAAATTACACAAAGAATTATACTTGTTAGTGCTTGGTTAGAGAGATCAACAAAGCATCTAATTAATTTTAAAACATGTTGAAACAGAGTTCAACAATTCAATTATAGGTCACATATGGGTCATTTCCACTTACTATTTCTCCACTATTAGTCACTATTGTCTGCCTCTGCAATCTTATGCTTGTCTTCTATTTTATCTATTGAAACTTTATTATTAATTTATTTTTTACATCACTAGCTGCACAATCAACAGCTCAAGGAAATACATCTTTAGATCAAACAGATAATTCAACTATAGCAGTAATTGAATCTGCTCTAACAACAATTGCTGAACCTACACCAACTGAAACCACATCTACAACTGAACCAGAAACATTAACTACGTCAGCATTTACATCTGAATCAATGACAACTGAAACCACATCTACATCCGAAACGGAAACATCAACTATGCCCACATCTACATCTGAATCATCGACAACAGCTGAAAATACAACGGTAGATCCACCAACAACACCTAAAACCACAACTCAAATGGAAACATCAACTTTGCCCATAACTACATCTGAATCAACGACAACAGCTGAAACTACAACGGTAGATCCACCAACAACACCTAAAACCACAACTCAAATGGAAACATCAACTTTGCCCATAACTACATCTGAATCAATGACAACAGCTGAATCAACAACAGTAGATCCACCAACAACAACTGAAACCACAACACAAATGGAAACAACACCACCATCTACCACTCAGTCAACAACAACACCACCAACATCTACCATTCAGTCAACAACAACACCAACATCTACCACTCAGTCAACAACACCACTAACATCTACCATTCAGTCAACAACACCACTAACATCTACCATTCAGTCAACAACAACACCAACATCTACCACTCAGTCAACACCAACATCTACCATTCAGTCAACAACAACACCAACATCTACCATTCAGTCAACAACAACACCAACATCTACCATTCAGTCAACAACAACACCAACATCTACCATTCAGTCAACAACACCAACATCTACCATTCAGTCAACAACACCACTAACATCTACCATTCAGTCAACAACACCAACATCTACCACTCAGTCAACAACAACACCAACATCTACCATTCAGTCAACAACAACACCAACATCTACCATTCAGTCAACAACACCACCAACATCTACCACTCAGTCATCAACAACACCAACTTCTACCACTCAGTCAACAACAACACCAACATCTACCACTCAGTCAACAACACCACCAACATCTACCACTCAGTCAACAACAACACCAACATCTACCATTCAGTCAACAACACCAACATCTACCATTCAGTCAACAACACCACTAACATCTACCACTCAGTCAACAACAACACCAACATCTACCATTCAGTCAACAACAACACCAACATCTACCATTCAGTCAACAACAACACCAACATCTACCATTCAGTCAACAACAACACCAACATCTACAATTCAGTCAACAACAACACCAACATCTACCACTCAGTCAACAACACCACCAACATCTACCACTCAGTCAACACCACCACCAACATCTACCACTCAGTCAACAACACCAACATCTACCACTCAGTCAACAACACCAACATCTACCATTCAGTCAACAACACCAACATCTACCACTCAGTCAACAACAACACCAACATCTACCATTCAGTCAACAACAACACCAACATCTACCATTCAGTCAACAACAACACCAACATCTACCATTCAGTCAACAACACCACCAACATCTACCACTCAGTCAACAACAACACCTACATCTACCACTCAGTCAACAACAACACCAACATCTACCATTCAGTCAACAACAACACCAACATCTACCACTCAGTCAACACCAACATCTACCATTCAGTCAACAACAACACCAACATCTACCATTCAGTCAACAACAACACCAACATCTACCATTCAGTCAACAACAACACCAACATCTACCATTCAGTCAACAACACCAACATCTACCATTCAGTCAACAACACCACTAACATCTACCATTCAGTCAACAACACCAACATCTACCACTCAGTCAACAACAACACCAACATCTACCACTCAGTCAACAACAACACCAACATCTACCATTCAGTCAACAACACCAACATCTACCACTCAGTCAACAACACCACCAACATCTACCATTCAGTCAACAACAACACCAACATCTACCATTCAGTCAACAACTCCAACATCTACCACTCAGTCAACAACAACACCAACATCTACCATTCAGTCAACAACAACACCAACATCTACCATTCAGTCAACAACACCAACATCTACCACTCAGTCAACAACACCACCAACATCTACCACTCAGTCAACAACAACACCAACATTTACCATTCAGTCAACAACAACACCAACATCTACCATTCAGTCAACAACAACACCAACATCTACCATTCAGTCAACAACAACACCAACATCTACCACTCAGTCAACACCAACATCTACCACTCAGTCAACAACAACACCAACATCTACCATTCAGTCAACAACAACACCACAAACATCTACCATTCAGTCAACAACAACACCAACATCTACCATTCAGTCAACAACAACACCAACATCTACCATTCAGTCAACAACAACACCAACATCTACCATTCAGTCAACAACAACACCAACATCTACCATTCAGTCAACAACACCACTAACATCTACCATTCAGTCAACAACAACACCAACATCTACCATTCAGTCAACAACAACACCAACATCTACCACTCAGTCAACAACAACACCAACATCTACCATTCAGTCAACAACAACACCAACATCTACCATTCAGTCAACAACACCAACATCTACCACTCAGTCAACAACAACACCAACATCTACCATTCAGTCAACAACACCACCAACATCTACCATTCAGTCAACAACACCAACATCTACCACTCAGTCAACAACACCACCAACATCTACCATTCAGTCAACAACAACACCAACATCTACCACTCAGTCAACAACACCACCAACATCAACCACTCAGTCAACAACACCACCAACATCTACCACTCAGTCAACAACACCAACATCTACCATTCAGTCAACAACAACACCAACATCTACCATTCAGTCAACAACACCACCAACATCTAACATTCAGTCAACAACAACACCAACATCTAACATTCAGTCAACAACACCACTAACATCTACCACTCAGTCAACAACACCACCATCAACCACTCAGTCAACAACACCACCAACATCTACCACTCAGTCAACAACAACAACACCAACATCTACCATTCAGTCAACACCAACACCAACATCTACCATTCAGTCAACAACAACACCAACATCTACCATTCAGTCAACAACAACACCAACATCTACCATTCAGTCAACAACAACACCAACATCTACCACTCAGTCAACAACAACACCAACTTCTACCACTCAGTCAACAACAACACCAACATCTACCACTCAGTCAACACCAACATCTACCATTCAGTCAACAACAACACCAACATCTACCATTCAGTCAACACCACCAACATCTACCACTCAGTCAACAACAACACCAACATCTACAATTCAGTCAACAACAACACCAACATCTACCATTCAGTCAACAACAACACCAACATCTACCATTCAGTCAACAACACCACTAACATCTACCACTCAGTCAACAACAACACCAACATCTACCACTCAGTCAACAACACCACTAACATCTACCACTCAGTCAACAACAACACCAACATCTACCACTCAGTCAACACCAACATCTACCATTCAGTCAACAACAACACCAACATCTACCACTCAGTCAACAACAACACCAACATCTACCACTCAGTCAACAACAACACCAACATCTACCACTCAGTCAACAACAACACCAACATCTACCATTCAGTCAACAACAACACCAACATCTACCATTCAGTCAACAACAACACCAACATCTACCACTCAGTCAACAACACCACCAACATCTACCACTCAGTCAACAACAACACCAACATCTACCACTCAGTCAACAACAACACCAACATCTACCACTCAGTCAACAACAACACCAACATCTACCACTCAGTCAACAACACCACTAACATCTACCACTCAGTCAACAACACCAACATCTACCATTCAGTCAACAACAACACCAACATCTACCACTCAGTCAACAACACCACCAACATCTACCACTCAGTCAACAACAACACCAACATCTATCATTCAGTCAACAACAACACCAACATCAACCACTCAGTCAACAACACCACCATCTACCACTCAGTCAACAACAACACCAACATCTATCATTCAGTCAACAACAACACCAACATCTACCATTCAGTCAACAACACCACCAACATCTACCATTCAGTCAACAACAACACCAACATCTACCATTCAGTCAACAACACCACTAACATCTACCACTCAGTCAACAACAACACCAACATCTACCACTCAGTCAACACCAACATCTACCATTCAGTCAACAACAACACCAACATCTACCATTCAGTCAACAACAACACCAACATCTACCATTCAGTCAACAACAACATCTACCACTCAGTCAACAACAACACCAACATCTACCACTCAGTCAACAACAACACCAACATCTACCATTCAGTCAACAACAACACCAACATCTACCATTCAGTCAACAACAACACCAACATCTACCATTCAGTCAACAACAACACCAACATCTACCATTCAGTCAACAACACCAACATCTACCATTCAGTCAACAACACCACCAACATCTACCACTCAGTCAACAACAACACCAACATCTACAATTCAGTCAACACCAACACCAACATCTACCATTCAGTCAACAACAACACCAACATCTACCATTCAGTCAACAACACCACTAACATCTACCACTCAGTCAACAACAACACCAACATCTACCACTCAGTCAACACCAACATCTACCATTCAGTCAACAACAACACCAACATCTACCACTCAGTCAACAACAACACCAACATCTACCACTCAGTCAACAACAACACCAACATCTACCACTCAGTCAACAACAACACCAACATCTACCATTCAGTCAACAACAACACCAACATCTACCATTCAGTCAACAACAACACCAACATCAACCACTCAGTCAACAACACCAACATCTACCACTCAGTCAACAACAACACCAACATCTACCATTCAGTCAACAACAACACCAACATCTACCATTCAGTCAACAACACCAACATCTACCATTCAGTCAACAACACCACTAACATCTACCACTCAGTCAACAACACCACCATCAACCACTCAGTCAACAACACCACTAACATCTACCACTCAGTCAACAACACCACCATCAACCACTCAGTCAACAACACCAACATCTACCATTCAGTCAACAACACCAACATCTACCATTCAGTCAACAACACCAACATCTACCATTCAGTCAACAACAACACCAACATCTACCATTCAGTCAACAACAACACCAACATCTACCATTCAGTCAACAACACCACAAACATCTACCATTCAATCAACAACAACACCAACTTCTACCACTCAGTCAACAACAACACCACAAACATCTACCATTCAGTCAACAACAACACTATCATTTACCACTCAGTCAACAACAACACCACTAACATCTACCACATCTACCACTTTGTCAGCATTTTCATCTCCAGATGCTCTTCCCAGAAGTAAGCAAAATTTATTTGATCTGTTTATGCAGTTGTTTTTTTTATTATTCACCACCGAAATTCACCTGTCACTGATTTGAATCTGTGAATTTGAATTTTACAGATATGACAGCATCTGCTTATGCAACTTTAAAATTGAGATCCTTCGCTGAGCTGAGCAATGATCAGATCATTTCATATATTGACATGGTAAGCTAATATTATATCTTTTAAATATTTTGTTTAATTTTATAAATGTACTTTCTGTTTAGTTCAAAAATTATTAACAACAAAAATATATTCAGCTAGCAATTACAATTTAGATTGTATTGTAAATTGTATTGTATCCATGGCAGTAAGGAAACAACAACTCTCTTAACTCTCTTTTAAAGGGGTTATATAGAATTCAGAACCCCTTGTTATTAGTGACACCGGTGGTCGTTAAGTGAACTGCACCCAGCAACTCATTGCTTGCACTCCTGCATACATAATTTACAAGAGACTGAGCGTGATTCAATACCCCCAATATAGTCACAACGAAGTTATTTTTCGTTCTTTACTTAGAAGTAAAAATAAATTGAAAATACCTTTGCAGTGATGTACTGTTAAAGGGTTAGTTCACCCAAAAATGAAAATTCTGTCAGTATTTACTCACCCTCATGTTGTTCCAACCCCGTAAGACCTTCGTTCATCTTCGGAACACAAATTAAGATATTTTTGATGAAATCTGAGAGCTGGATCACTCCTCCATACTAGTCCAGTGGCTACTTGAGGAATTGAAACTTACTGGCCTCGAAAAGTTATTAAAGACATCGTTAAAATAGTCCAAGTGACTACAAATTTGCGTTGATGTCTAAACCTAATTTTTTATGACGTCAAGGTCCAACGTTGGGCAAAAGTTAGGTTAAAAATGAATATTGATCTGATGTAGGGCTGGGCGATATATCGAATATGTACGATGTATCGTTATATTTTTTGAAACGATATGGAATGAGGCAATACCGTTTATATCGATACAGTAGTTTGATATGAGCACATCTGAAAAAATAGCGGAGGTTGCAGTGTGAGCTGCTGCAGTGAAAGTAGCTAGGCTACGTAGTACAATTTGTCCTAAACATGACACAAGCTTATATTAATTGCGTCAAAATCACTTTGATATAGTTAACAAGTTTAAGGCAGCTTGCCGCCCTGTCAAATGCTCTGACAGACACTGTTGCTGACTGACAGATATACTTGCGCTGTTTAATGCGTTTGAGATGTGGTGCTTTCCTCAGTGCTCAACTTACATTTCACATATTCTCCATCTGTAAATGTTAGAAAGTAAAGCAAATATGTCCATTTCACAACAAATATGTCCATGTCAGAAGAGGACGAGCTTCTGCAAGTGAATCTCCGCTAAAATTCATGCTTCCTTGAACGAGCGCCGGCGCGCGCATGCGCGTGAATAGTACTACGTAGTACGCAATAATTCTGACTAAAATAAACATATTGCTAAAATATTTGTTGTTGGAGAAAATAAATGTGCCATATGTGGAATTTTAAACCTACAAGTATATATTTTTAATGAAAGTGAAAGTGATTATAATGGGGTAATCAAATGCAGGCTAATATAATTAGTTTGTGCTTTTGTTTTTGTTTTTATTTTCATTTTTAGTTTAGCTTTTAGCCAATATAAAAACAAAAGCTTTTTGCACATAATATATTGCATAGCCTATATTATATTTGTTTCCATATCCTTCAATATCAACATTGTTTGTAGGATATCATTGGGCCGAATGTAAATATACTGTATATATACATATATATATTTTTTTTTTTTAATATAAAGATTTTCTTTATCTAAATAGAAAACGTAGAAAGTACCGAGATATGTATCGTATATCGCCATTTGACCAAAAAATATCGAGATATGATTTTTTGGCCATATCGCCCAGCCCTAATCTGATGTCAAAATCGAATGTCTTTACATAAAACTCCAACGTTGGGCAGACTTTTCATTATAATTTATTACTTTTCAGTAATAAATTATATTGTTTGTGAACGTGTTTTCATAATAATACAATCATAAGTGGAAACAGGAAACACATAAAACAGTTTAACATGGAGATAGATGGAAACAAAAACAGAAGTTTTCTACTACCCCCATTTTCCCCTCACACATGAGTGTGTAATTTACTCAAATGCCTTTCCTTTCATATTTTTGCAGATTTATAACTTTATAACCTCTGGACATGATTGTAAACAAAATATTTGTGCGGCTATTTGCTCCTTTAGTTGTGAACGTGTTCGTGCAAGCGTGCGTGTGGTCCATGAGTGTGCACACCTCTGGTTGCAGTTTTGCTTGTCACCAGAGGGGACATAGTTCTGCAAAAACTCAGAGACTTGCGCTATGCACCTTTATGCCTATAACAGCAGAGATAGGCAGGCAATGCAAAACAAAATCTTACATTGGGAAATAGTGGGGGGGACAAAACATAATTGGGTTACATAATTGTTCATCCATTACATAATTGTTATTAATTATAATTATTATAATAAACCACATTATATTTAATTTCTTTTCTGGTCTCGACTTGGTCTCGACTTGGTCTTGTCTTGGTCTCGATACCCTCAGGTCGTGGTAGTCTCTTGGTCTCGGTTTCGGCGGTCTTGACTATAAGTTTACCTCTTAGACAGAAGGTAGTATGCATCCTGAGCTAGACGCTCACAGATCTGTGGTCCTCAGCCATTTGGAATGCCTTGGACTTAGGATCAATATTGCCAATAGCTCACTGTCTCCCTGCCTGCAAACCTCGTTCCTGGGTGCAGTTCTTCTTGATTCAGCCCAAATGTATGCTACACTTATGCCAGAATGAGCCTTGACGATTTCAGGAAGTTTCCCCTCAGGAAGTTTCAGAGGATGCCAGGCCTAATGTCCTCCACGTCACCAATACTTTAGTGGAGCATGCTCCACATGCAGCCCCTCAATACTGGCTGAAACCCCAGGTTCCAGCCCATGCTCCGCATCAAGGAGGATCACAGCTGCATTATGGCCCTGACCCCTTGGAGAGACCCTCGTTGGTTCCAATCGGGTGTGGACCTAGGAATGGTTTCTAGAAGGAAGTTTATCCTCCAACGCGGGTTGGGGAGCTCTGTATGAGGGCAAGCCGGCTTGCGGCTCCTGGTCGGGCACGGAAAAACGTTAATGTCTTTCTGGCCCTCAGAACCTTCCTGTCAGATCTGAAAAGGCATGTGTGTTAGTGTGTTAGTCTGTGTGTTAGTCCGATCGGATAACAGATGGCAGTTGTGTCCTAAATAAACCACCAAGGTGGACTCAGATCAAGGCCTTTGTACAAACTGGTGAGTCAGTTCCTCTTTTGGCCATAACCCAACTGGGCAGACTGAACCAAGGGTTGAACCAAGCATGCAGTTCCAGGGCAACGTGCCCTCGGAAGAGCGACACTTCATCCCCAGATGGTTCACATGATCTGGAGTATCTTCTTTAAGAAACCTCAGCTCAACCTCATCACTTCAGAAAACAACTCTCACTGCCCAATATATTTCTCGAGGGACAGAGACATGCTGGCCCAGGAATGGTCCAGCATCCCTCTATATATTTTCGCTCCAGTTCTGCTCCCTCAGGTCTTCAGATGGATCAGCGAGGACAGCCGCACAGATCCCCTCTGGCGAAACCAGCAGCCCCGTAGCCAATACTCCTGAGGTAGGCACTCATTTCCAAAGTGAAAAGTACAATCTGGCACCCCCAACCAGAGTTGTGGGCCCTTCACCTCTGCCCCACACAACAGGAGCTGATGGACCTCCCTGCGAGACTCCTGAACACTATTTGTGAGGCTAGAGCCCTGTCCGTAAGACGCCCTCTATGCCCTTATATGGTCTGTCTTCTCCAACTAGTGCACAGTTCGGACTGAAG